GAGAGTGTCACCCATTGCAGAAACGAGGGCACCAGGAAGGGCATACGACTTAAGGAGAGAAGATGGAGAGGTTAGATTTGGGGGTGGGGGGTAGGAATGAGATCCTGGAACTTGGAGGAGATATAGGGGTTGGAGCTGTGGAGCACCATCTTTATAGAGGTGTCATTTAGAGTCTCTGGCTGGCTGAAACTGCGATAGGGAAGAGTTTGGAGATGGAATCAAAGGAGGCTGGAAACGGATCTCTGGGTAGAAGGGGAAGGGCTGGACGAGACAGAAGACGAGGCAATGGGCGCAGGAGGAGGAGGCCTCCCAGTAGGCGGTGTCGCAGAAGCCGAGGTAGGAAAGAGGTCCAGGAATCGGAGGAGCAGGGCCCCTGTGACAGAGGAGTCTAGACTCACCAGAAGGGAGGTCGTTGGATTTAGGGGTGGGGAGCCAGTGATCGCCACGCAGTTCTGAGAAGCTCTGGATGGTGAAGGCACAGAATTCAGTTGGCTTGGTGATAAGATGTGAGTTTGGGCAAGGAAAGAGATTGTGAATGGAGATGAATGTTTCAAAATGATAGACTGTAAATAGGAAGAGAGAGGCTAGTGCAACTTGAAAGAGCCCCAGTGTCAAGTAGACATCTTTCTTTCTCTCTTTCTAGCCCTCTTTCTCCTGTCTGTCTACCTTTCTCCTTCTTCCTCTTCTCCACTTTCTTTCCCCCTTTTCTGACTTTCTCCTGATGGCCAGAACATTCTGATTAGCCTGATAGACAGCAAGAATGCACCAGTGGAAAGGGAGAGACTGAAATGAAAGACAGGGAATAGTGAATGGATGGCTCTTGAGCAGTTGTATACCTGAAATGAGTATAATGTTATATGCCAATTATACCTGAATTTAAAAAAAAAAAGGAGGGAAAGCAGGAAGAAAATTTAGCGATAAGCTGTCTAAAAGCCAATAAGCCACAGCCTTTGGAATAGCACCCTCTTCTATTTGTTATCACCATTCAGTGTGCTTTCCCGTATCTGCAAGGCTTCTCTGGCTCAAACTTGGCCAATTGTCACTTGTATTAATGACAAGCAGCACTGGTAAATCATTGGAATCCCGCCCTTCTTACCATTGAGCTGTTGTTCTCTGGCACAAAAGAAAGTGTTGTCTCTAGAGAATGGAATTGCTACATTGCATCCCCAGTAGGTTCAGAGAATGCCCTGAACCTACTATTGGGTCCACTCAATAGAGAAGTAGCGTCTTTCTCTATGGGTAGGGAAGAACCACCGAGAACACACACACAGGCTGAGATCTTTGGTAAGCGAGTTTCCTTGCTTGATACACACACACACACACACACACACACACACACACACACACACACACACACACCCCTCCCCCCCCCACTGGAATCTCCTTTTGGATGACCTTTCCTCACTCACCCCTCACAGACCAGAATGCACCAAGGAAGGAAAAAACTTAGTCCTGAAAGTGCTGACTAACAGCATCAATTTTGGAATCAGAATGATACTATTTTTGTTTCCATTCTCTCTTTAGAGTTTGAACTTTCCTTTTGATATTTTGTAAATATTCATCACCTCAGAGAGCCTTTTGAATTGCAATGGCTTTTAGTCAAAACTGAGCAAAATGTGCCATTTGAATAATAAAAACCTCATTAAAGCAAGGCGAACGGAATTCTTTTCCTTTTGTACAAGCCAATTAAGTGTCTTTATAATTAAAAAAAAGTCTAGCACTTTTATAGTTTCATATTCCATAAGCCTGTTTTTAATTAATGGAGGTGACAAGTTTTAGGTACAGAGTACGTATTTTCCCTCCGGTGTTGTGCAATTAACATTAATGAACGGTATTACAATTTGGTGCAACAGGAAAGGGTTTCCCAGGTCCTCTGTGAGTTCTTGCCTCCAGGCTGAGGTCTTTGGTAAGCAAGTTTCCTTGCTTGATACAGTTTGCATTTCCTTGAGAAAATGTGCAGGCAAGGATACAGGTAACTAGAGGAGGTGTTGATATCAAGAGGTCATGGTGTCAAAATTCCAAATGCCCAGGCCTGTCTTAAAAGACAGGGTAACACTGAGAAAAAAATCGACTTTGAAGAATTTGATTTTCTCTTGTGGATATAGAGACAAAGGGACTAACTATGATTTAACCTGGCAGGTCCCTCTCTCAAGATACTGGGGCTTTGCTCCTGCACCTTTTTTCTGTTGTTGGATTTTAAGTTGCTTCTAGTTCATATACAACTTAATAATTCTAGCTCACTTATATATAATTATTACCCATTCTTATGTGTAAACTTTTATATAAATTTTGAGTATTTCTTTAGGAAAGAACCTTGGAAACTTGTGTTAGTTTCCTAGAGCTGCTATAACAAATTGCCACAACTTTGGTAACTTAACACAAGAGGAATTTAGCCTGTCACAATTCTGGAGGCCAGAATCCCAAATCCAGGCGTCAGCAGGGTTGGTTCCTTCTAGAGGCTCCGAGGGAGAGTCCATTCAGTGCCTTTCTGCTAGCTTTTGGGGCAGGTGGTCAACCTTTGGCGTTCTGGGCTTGTTGCGGCAGCACTCCAGTCCCTTACCTTGGCCTTTGGCTCTCCTTCTCTGTGTCTTCTGCCCTTCTCTTCTGCTGTAAGGACACTTGTCATTGGCTGGTTCCACTTTAGTCCAGGATAATCTCATCCCAAGATATGAATTTATGACCTTTGCAAAGACCCTTTTCCAAATAAGGTCGCATTTACAGGTTCCCAGTGGACCTATCTTTGAGGCTCCACTGTTTAACCCTCTACGGAAGCAGGAAGCAGTGACACATCAAGAAGATGAGAAGGGGCTGTGGGGGTGGTCTGCCCCATGTGTAGGCAGAAAGGGGGAGCATTGCTTGCAGAGAATTCAAAACCAATAGTAAAACGGACCAAGTGTTGCTATGCATTTTATTATCATCATGCAGTGGCAATTCTGAACTTTATCGATGGATGATACAGTATTTCTCCCTCGAGAGTGCTGCCACAGCACTGCCTCCCTGTGCACCTCACTGCTTGGAAACAGGATTACTGGGTGAAATAATGTGGATTTTTCTAATTCTCATGTTACATATATTTTCCACTTAATTTCCAGGGTGCAGGAATATACTCACCAACTTTATACGAGATAATAAACATATAATAATAATAAAGGCAAATATGCTAATTTAATAGGTAGAAAATACCTTATTTAAAATGTTGCCTAGTAAAGTTCAGCATGTTCAATCTGTACTGGTTATTTTGTAACCTAGTTTTATGAACTTTTAAGATGTCTTTGTCAATATTTCTGTTAGACTCAGAAAAATATTTTCTTATTGGTTTTTTAACACTCTATAGTAAAAATACAGGTCTTTTATAGCGCTGCACATATTTACCATAGTTTCTTTTTACTCTGTTTAGGTAACAGATTATTTTAGTTTTTAGACAGACTTTTCTTGATGCTTCTTTTTATTGAATGCTGGTGTTTGTTTTTTTAAAAACTCATGTCTCTTCTGCTACAGGCTACAGTCTTCCATGAGGATGGGACAAAATCAAATTGTCGCAAAAAGTAAAAGCTCTATGAAAAGTTTCTATGAAAGGAGCATTGGATTAAAAAAATAAATTATGGGAAATATTTCATTTCCTCTGTCACATAGGAAATATGAGCTGTAAGAGGAAACAGGACCATCAATTTCCAGCCCCCTATTTTACAGGCAGGATTCAGAAACTCAAAGACTTTGGCAATTTGTCTGAAACTGGGACAAAATGCAGATCTTTGAACTTTTAACCCTGTTCTCCTATAAAACCCCACCCTGTGTCTTTTCTTCTTGCTTTATTTGTTAGCTACGTTCCAGGAATGCTTTTTTTTTTTCTATTAAGCATTCATTTGATTGCATTTTTCCTTATTATAAAGACATCATATATGAATTATGGGGGCAAAATGAAGAAAATACAAGTGAACTTAGAAAGAAAACCATTTAAGGCACATTGGGTTCCACCCACTATAAGAAACAACTACTGTTAACATTTTTGTGTATCCTTTATACTGTGTGTGTGTGTGTGTGTGTGTGTGTGTGTGTGTTTGTGTGTTCGTACAATAGTATATGTTTTGTTTTTTTACCATGAATTTTTTGCAAGGTCGATAGGTTTGCTTATTTGTTATCGTTTTAATGGCTGCATAGTATTCTATCATTTACATATATTCTAATTCATTTAATGATGTCCCAACTGTATATTTAGCTTAACTCTAATTTGTTGCATTTATGTTGCAATTGCAAACACTAGATAGCCTTGAATACATATCTTTATACACTTCTCATTAGTACCTTAGGCTGATTTCCCACAAGTACAATTTCTTTATGAGGATTTAGGATTTTGATGCACAGGGAAGGCTTGCTTTTATGTTTTAAAATTTTATTATGAAGCAAATATACACTGAAGAAAATAGTATAACAGGCCTCCACTTACCTCTTCCTAAAGCTCATTTCTAACGTGTAGATTTAATCTGACCTCTGGAAGGAACATATTCAAGTAATAGGTGCCTGTCTCTTCAGAACATTTCTGCCTTGGTATGTGTACTTACCACCCATGCAGGGCTGCCTCCTGTGTCCACCTTTTTATGTCATATGTTCTCCTTTGTATCTTACATTTATCTGAAGGGTCATTTTGATTTTATAGGTGAAGAAGCTGAGACGTGGACAAATTAAGAAGCATGGATTTAATTAGGTGGTAGAACCTAGGATCCAGCCAGGGTGACCATCACACCCCAGTTTGCCCGGGATGGTCCTGCTTTTAGCACTGCATCCCAGCAGCCCCCTTGTCCCCAGCAACTTAGGATAGTTGCCAATTGAAGGTCCAAGCCCTTCCTCCAGCATGGTTTAAGGTTCGGCACTCTCTGGCGTCCCATTTCCAACTGCCTGGAATCTTGAAGATAGTGAAGAATTGCTTATTCCGGAGGGAGCATGAGTGATCCTGGGTTTTCGAGTGTTCATGTCTGCACAACATTGAATGTTTCGTTTTTCAGGTCTCTGCATGTGCTCGTGTGCAACGCAGCAGCTTTTGCCCTCCCCTGGAGTCTGACAAAAGATGGCCTGGAGACCACCTTCCAGGTGAATCACCTGGGGCACTTCTACCTTGTCCAGCTCCTTCAGGATGTCTTGTGCCGCTCAGCCCCGGCTAGAGTCGTCGTGGTCTCGTCGGAGTCCCATAGGTGTGTTCCAATTTGATGTTTTGTTCTGTTGTCCCTTTCATTGCATCAGCTAATGTTCCTCTGAGGTTGTCTTTCTCAAAATAATTCTCATTAGTCTTACTCTGAAAAGTGTGGGTGTATTCAACCTGGCTTGCTTAATTTTTCGAGGTCTTTTTTGTGAGTGTGTGTGAGATTGTGGGGGACTATTTTGGGGATTTTGTCTACAGCAATGCGTATTGCTTTTGCAACTGTACTTCAAGCCCCTCATTGATTTTGCTTTGAGATGGAATAATAATTGATTAAATCTGAATGCCTGACCTTTATTGATTTGTCATTCAACAACTTCAACATTTCACCAAGAAGAATGTGCAGTTATTCTAGCAGGAGAAACAATGCAATTAAAGACGGCGAGATGAAATCCAATTGTTTTATAATGAGAAATTAGGGAATTCAATGCAGACATTAGCTGTGTAATTGTAGAAAGGGAAGTACTGTAGTTAGAACATATTAGAAATCTGGCCATGCCTCTTTTGGTTAAAATTTCAATTAAAACATCAGATGGCACTTCTTTTCTATTACCATTAGGAGAATATTCAATGGACTAAAAAGACATTTGAAAATTTCATCGTATTTTCAGCATATTTGTTTCTGGAGTTGGGTAAACAACTGTTTGCCTAAAGAGAAGTGCTCAGGAAAGACAAAGGATTCTCTGGGTGAGGCTGGATTGAATGCATGTTGGGGAGATTTTCTTGATGTGGTTGGGAGCTTGCACGCTTAGCAAAAAGTAGCTGGGGAAACTAATGCGCAAGTGCTTATTTTCCCCTCTTCTTCTCTGCCTTAAGTCCTGAAATGTTTTAGTGACCCAGAATGAAGCTTATTTTTTTAATCATGCCTCCATAAAATGTAACCCCTGGGACTTGGAAGAGAGAGACCAGCCAAGGGTTAGCCTGAACCCTTTATCACTCCCAAACACAGGGGCTTATGGTATAAGTGACATACTGCAGATAGATTTACTCTTACCATTTTAAATTTATGATGGCCGAAATGAAAGGAAGATGCCCGTAATAATCCTCCCCCGTGTTAAAAGACATGAAACATCTAGTAATTAGGTGGTAACAAAATCTAGACATCCTTATCTTGGCAAATCACACCAGGTTTGTGAAAGAGAGTGGAGTGGCCCTGATAAAGGAGTAAGGGAGACTGCTGGGGGGGGGGGCAGGGGCTCCGGAAATAAATCTGCCAGCCCCAATCCTCGGCCAGATGTGGAGGGCACCACGGGATATGTTTAAATGAGCTGGTAGTTAATGGGAGATTAGGTTGAATTGTCAGCTGCTCTCTTCCCTTTGTAAATCTGTATCTCAAATGGCATTTCATGTGACGTCTTTGTTCTTCCCTTAACTGCAGTGTAATTCGTTCCTACCTAGGAGATCTGAATCTTAATTTCATTTCAAAGATGAATGAGAAGGAAGGGCCTAGGTCTCCTGAATTAGTTCCATTTCAGTTTATAGAGAAGACCTTCCTGAAATGTGTCTGGCGATTGGCACTGGTGTTCTGCTTTCTGATTAGCCTTTGCACGTACTAAAGAGTATTTCTCCAAGACGTTAATTCCACCACGCTGGTTTGTTGACTATGCTCTCACGGTTGCCCATAGCACCCGAGAGCCAGCGCACTGAGTGCACTGTGCTGAGAACGCACTCCCTCACTGCTCAAGGACCCAGAGCCTTAACCCGTGTTGTAAAATGGAAATGTTGATATCTAATTACCTCCATAAACCTTGGCGGAATCTCTTCGTTGGAGTCAAGACCCCCTGTTAGGGGAAAAATAAAGTCCCATGTTTGCAGAAAATATTATACCAGACTGCCCCAAGGCAAAATATTTATTAGCTTCCCCACGTCTTCACTATATTTTTGTTACTTATCCGGAGCCTGAGCCAGTGAGTTGAGTTTCTGCATACCTAAAACACATCATATTAAAAGGAGAACTTGACGTCCTTGCTGTGAAAAATTTTCAGATAACAATTAAAATAGAAGGAAAAGAGTGGAGCGCTGGCTGAACCACTCTAAATGGCATGTATTAAGATGAACGCCAAGCTACCACACACACACACACACACACACACACACACACACACACAGCGTCTGATGCAAATTCAGTCGTATTCTTTGAACATACTAGCTTTTGTCTACATAGAATCCAGCCTAATTACTTTAGTTTGGTGATTTAAAAATCCTCAGCTAAAAAAAAACACCTAATAATAAGAGAGCAGTATATATAGAAACATACAAGCTAGAGGTCCCCTCCAGCAGCAAATGTTAATGTCCAGAGAGCAAATGTTAACACGCTAGAGTACTGGTAGGAGAATCGTTCTATTAAGACATGATTGTTTGGCTTTGTCAGTTATTCAACTTAAAAATAGAGCAGGCAGCCTTTGATGAGTTGTTTTACTGCCTCTCGAGCTGAGAGGGGAATAGGGTCCCTTTTCAGGAAGCCTGCCCTGGCCCAGAGGAGTCAGAGAGCTTGTCCACCCTTCCTGTGTCCTGCACGACTGTCAATACAAGCCAATCAGATCGTAAAAATGGGTTTGCTGCCCAGGAGATCAGCAAGGCAGGAAGTCAGGGGTCCACTTAGGGTGGGGGCCTGGTATTTAGCAGATGTGCTTCTACCTCAAAATCTTCATTCAGCCTGGCTCCATCTAATTTCTCATCATGGGGGACGTGTGTGTGTGTGTGTGTGTGTGTGTGTGTGTGTGTGTGTGTGTGTGCGCGCGCGCGCGCACATGTGCCTTATTTCTAGATTGGGGTCTACAAAGGAATGACTTCTCTTAGGAGTTTAATCAACCCAGTGTTTCCCAGTCATGAACACTTCTACATTGTCTTTAAAAAACAAAGCAGGGGAGCCGGCCGAGTGGAGCATTGGTTAAGAGCTGGCTTGGGATGCCAGAGAGCCCCAGTTCGGATCCCACATATAAGGGCCAGTGACACTGCCATCTACAGCTAAGATGCTGAACAACAGCTCGACCTGGAGCTGGGCTGCTGTGAGTCGCCGGTAACAGCATAGGCTACAGCACCTGCTGCAGTGGGTTGCCATGGGCTACCGTGTGTAGCCGGCAGCCAGTGTGAGTGGCCAGCAACCGCAGTGAGCGGCCGTCCAGAAGCCGGCGACTGATCTGCCTCGCCCGGGAAGAGCGCAATGATGGTGCCAACTTGGGCCAGTGAAGCGACGTCCTCCACAGCTAGACTGAAGAACAAAAGGATAGCAACGTGTCTGTTCCCCTTTCCCCAATACCCCAATAAAAATCTTTAAAACAAAACAAAACAAAAAAAACCAAAGCAGGGTACTTATCCTAAACATTAGAAAAATGCCACATGCAAAGTGCCACATTCTTCATTGTCTCTAATGAAGAGCACAGGATCTGAACCTAATGGTAAAATTTGCATTTTGAGTAAGGCTTGAAACAAAGCTTTTTGTAATAAGGGAGACTTAGCCCTTAGTTTAGAATTCTTAACCCATGATCCAACTTCAAGTCTCTTAATTTGTATTTAGTACTACTATGTGTTAGGTATTAAACTAGGCAGCATGCAAAGGGCTCCCTATCCACCTAAGAATTCACAGTCTAGCATTGGAACCTTGCTGTCTGGTATGGTAAGGACAATATGCAGACAAATTGCAAAGATGACCTGATTTGCTTTGTTGCTGATCTTGGAGGGGTGGCAGGGTTATTGACTACTAGGCATATCATGGACTGGGGTTGTGGAGACTGGATACCTAATTTCCCTGGAAACATGTATTTCAATCTGGTTTGCATGGCATTTTTCGATATGTCTTCCACTGCCATCAACGTGAGGACCGGCAGCGGAAGAGTTAGTTAGGGAGAACTTCCTGGAAGAAATGGGACCTGAGCTGCGCTGGACTAAACAAATATGCCAAGCAGGGTTTCCAGCAACAGGTGAGGAAAAGAAGAGTGGAGAGTAAGAATGGAGGATGTTGTATTTATCCCATAGTTTTTAGATATTGTCTAAATCCTCAATGCTCTTTTGAGCTCAGAGTAGGTAGCATTGCTAAGACACGGCCCTTGTCTTGGAACACTGGGTTCTCAACTCAACAGTTGATTTCTATAACAACTTGTGTGTAACACCTTATTACTATGTAGTTCAGAAATAATGTAACTTCCCTGCCTACATATATCTTAATTCAATATGCTAGCTTACTGTAATATAAAGGAAAAAAATAAATGTGAAGCAAAATCGCATTTGTAAATCAACATGTAAATGCTTGGGCAGGGCTCCAGGAAAGGTAAGTAATCAGATGCCGTGCCCTTGCATAAATCACCTGGACTGGGATGTTCACAAGTGCGCACTGGTAACAGGCCTGTGGCATTACAGACTCCACTCCCGCCAGCACCGACTCAGGCCTCACCTCCCCACCCTGCAAAAAAATCACAAACTCTGAAAGTGATCCATTCCTCATTTACATAATTGTTGCACTACATTTCTGGGAAGTAAGTGGGTGTTACTTGTGCATATATGTAAAAAAGAGTGAGGCTCTAGGTTCAGATAATTACACAGAGGCCCTTCCTCTGCATGGCTGTCCAGCGCGGAAGTCCTCACTGAGCAAGACCCTCCCTGCCTTGCAGGGTATCTGCCATCCCCAGCCCCCACCGGCAATCATTATGACAACCAGGAAAAGGCTCCCATAAAGTTTCAAATTTCCCACCAACTTCCACTGCCTTAGACAATTAAGCTTCGAAGTCCAGGCTCTTCCTGTGGTTTGGGGACTTGGAAACAGGCAGCCGACAATTAATTTCAAGGTCCCATTGCCATATCCACCATGGTGTTTCTGGCCATCAAACCTGCTGATGAGAGCAACAAAGTCATTTAACACTAGAAATTGGATGTCACTGACTGAGTCCTGGAAAAGGGATATTTAATTTCCATTAAAACATGCATTTCATCTGCCCCTGTGATGCTTTCCTGGGTCAGAGTTCAACTGAACTGCCCATATTAAGGAACAAGCAGATTATTCCATAATTTCCTTTTACCTTTTGCTTTTGTTTTCCGTAGCAGTTGTCGGGATTACTCTTATGCTTCCTTATTACTCAGTGCACATGCCCAGAGTTAATTTAATGAAGCAAACTATTAACAAAGGTTCTTAACAAAGATGAGACCATCATCTAGAAAATTCCTTTTGTTATGATCCATTTTTTTAAGTAGTAAGGGCAATTATTACTTTGTTTCATTTAAAAAGGGAAAAGAAGAGAAAGAAAGAAAAAAGGAAGGAAAGAAACAAACAAACAAACAGCTGGTGTTTAACGACTCCGTCAGACCCAATTATAAAACATCAACTACTTACTTTGATTTGTGTGTATCCATGCCATGGGTATACTTAAAAACATTAGGCTCTGCCAGAACTCATTTTGGCTTTGTTTATATTTGCCTTTTAAACATATAAGACTATTGATGGCACCTCACCAAGGTTATAACCCCTTTATAATCATTAATTTTTAATCTTGAAAAGAGTCTTGGAGGCAGCAAGACTCATCTATATATTTACTTGGATGCTCAAATGAAAATATACAGGACTCAAGCGTTGGCTAAAATAACCCAGGAAAGCCCCGTCAAAGGTTAGGAATGTGATATCTTTCTGTTTCCAAAAGCAGCAGCCCTTTATTTAAGATGCTTTTCCATTTAATTGAATTATCCTTGAACTTCCTGTTGAAGGTTTTGAAAAAAAAAATATGTTAGAGGCAGGGTGGGGGGGGGTGAGGGAGTGGGGGATGGGGACTCAGTGTTCAGTATGTTAAGACCTCTCCATTTATGAGTTTGGGCCTTTATTGGGTCTGTCTTTGGGTCCAGTTGGTTTATATTGTTAAATCACCATTGTCTATTTGCAAGGGAGACTTGGTCTCGACGTTTGCACAACTGAGTTTTCAGTAGTCTCTGCATAGTTTTGCAGATTCGTAATAAAAATTTTAACAAAGCTATATCAGAAGTCAGAGATTGGCTGCTTCATGTCATGTTTCCTATTTTTTTTTTAGATTTACAGATATTAACAATTCCTCGGGAAATCTAGACTTTAGCCGCCTGTCTCCATCTAAAAATGACTACTGGGCCATGCTGGCTTACAACCGGTCCAAACTCTGCAACATTCTCTTCTCCAATGAGCTTCATCGCCGCCTCTCCCCACGTGGGGTCACCTCCAACGCAGTGCATCCTGGGAACATGATGTACTCCTCCATTCATCGCAACTGGTGGGTGTACACGCTACTGTTTACCTTGGCCAGACCCTTCACCAAGTCTATGGTAAGTGGACGGCTTCTGTCACCGCAGACACCTTCAGTGTGCCTTTATGGGAAGGATCCTAGAGAAACCCAGATGTGTGTTTTCTGCAGCCTCTGGCTTCGTGTAATGATGAGTCTGTTCTTGATAATCACATCATCAGGCCTATTAAAACAGTTGGAAAGGGCTCTTGAACACATTTCCATTGACTCTAGGTTGCATCTGTTTCTCTAAAGGTGTCTCCGAGGGCCAGATAGAAGATGTGGTTTTTCAATATTGTGTTAAGTATGGCCGAAAGTCTTGATGGCAATGATTGGTTTTCTTTCTTTTGATGTGATTTTTTAAAACTTGTTATTCAGAAAGTGTGGTACTTGGAAACTGTGTTTTGTGTTAGTAGGTGAAAAACATGGACTTGTGACTATTGAATTCTCAGCTGATGCGACTCCTTTGTTTCCACTGAGAGTCTGTATCTGATGTTCTATATTCTTCTTTTAATGGGTGTAAACCTCTTTTGGGGTATACTTCGTCGGCGAGAAGTGTGTTTTATTCTTTATTTCCCCGAAGACAAATCCTTTTGGATGAAGCACACTACTGTGGTTAGATTTGGAAAGACTCACAAAGGTAAATATGACGATTTTACGTTTTTGATGGCCATATATATATATATATATATATATATATATATATATATATATATATATAACAACTGTATCTTAAAACTTCCTCCATGAAAGCGTTTTAGTAAGAAGTAGCTTGAATGAAGAATGCATATTTTATACAATATATTTGGTGTGGTATATTTCTAAACCATGGATCTTAATCTAGCTAGTATGGTATCCGCTGGACACATATGGCTATGGAGCCCTTGAAAAGTGGCTAATATAACTGAGGAACTAAAATTTTAATTTAATTTAATTTAAATTAATTTAGACTTAAATAGCCAGATGTGCCTAATGGCCGCCATATTGGAAAGCAAGTTTAAATAATGTGTGTAGCACAGTGTCTCTTGTGTAGAAGATGTGCAGTACTTCTTGTCATGATGGTTGTTATTCTTGTTGTGTTACCTTGGTCCTCAAGATTATTTTCCAAAATGCAATTGCTGCTGATGGATACAAGGGTCATGGAACTAAAGAACTCTGTAAATTAGGAGTCCGGTGGTGGTGTTGGGGGACCTCTGTCCCTGGCTCCAGAAGCCCAGGGAGAGGGTGATTGGCAACATAGGAAGGGTGCCCAGGGGGAGACGTCTTGGTTCTCCAACCTGTACATCTGATTCCTGCAGAAGCCATTGTAGGGTGTACAAGTGATTGCAAAACAGCATCTTTTAAATGTCAGAAATGTCTTTATTTTAGATACGCCTATAGATTAGGAAGACTATGAAATATGTAGCTAAGTTTAGATGTTTAGGAAAATTCTCTCTAATATCTTTTTATATTTTGGTATGCGGTGGTATTTTTTTATCCGTCAGAGTTCCATATGATTAAGTTTATAAAGAGATGGAATGGGAATTATGAACTCACTTGTCAAATTCACAGCCGATCGCTTCTTTTTTCATAAACGTTTAGGGCTCTGTATTCCGAAGAGGAATCAGCTTGAGTATAGACCTGGGATCACTGTATTTCACTGGTAGACAGACTGGGCTTATTGGAAAAGTCACCCACTTGTTTTATCCTTCTGTGTGTTGCTTGGCATTGCTTCCATCATGATAAGACTTCTGTTTCATGGATGAAGGTTGCACTTCTGCCATTGTAATGCGAACATATTTTTGGACACAAGCCATGTAGTTGCATTTCTGTTCCTACCCCATGTAAACATGGGATTTCTAAATGCTCATGAAGAAGCTCGGCATAGATTCAGTGTCCCCGTCACCAGATGGCTAGTGTCCTGTGTGCTCTGTCACCCCTTTCTGCGTTTCACTTCAGAGACAATGTTTTCCTTTTGACATGAGTGTTGCTGGAGTGTACATTCCATTACACAAGGTCAAGGAAACAAGAAACACAACCCAGCCTCGTGCTTGGAAGTCCTGCCCTTCGCTTCTCCACTATAGCTGGCTCCCCTAAGTATTAAACAGCAGTATTGTAATATCAACGTCCCTTTTTTATTTGCTGTGACTTGCTGTGACTATGGTGATTTTAGTTACAGTAATTAGGTCACCCTTCATGGAGTCAGGCTATTTTAAGTGCCTCTTTAAGGAATATTGTTGCAGATCAGTAATTTTACAATTGGATGTTCTTGTGCAACTTTATTAAATGTAATCTGTCTTTTAAATGTTGCCCTTTTACAGTTATACATTTCTAATTGTTGCTGTAAATGCATTATCACTTTGAAATTAATTAATTTTTCCATTTTGGCCGCCTGCAGTATAATAATCACTAATGAGAAACTCATAGGGATTAATTCTCAGCACAGCGACCCCCACTGGTAAAGCCCTGCCTCTGCCACCTCTTCCTCTTGAGGTCTAATTAGACGTTTTGTCCCCTCTCCCTCCAGTTTATGATAAAGTCAAAATAAGTAGATAAAAATGGGAATATGATTTTTTTTTAATGTTTAAAAAAATGATGCAGGATTCTTCAACTAGCTGCTTTTGAAACATCTTAAAAGGAAACTAAAGTTTGCCGGAACCTGTCAAATAATCAAGTCACCTCCCATCATGTATGCGTTATATGTTTATTTCCTGTCTCTTTTTTATGCAATTAGAATAGTCTAAAATTATATTTTGCACATGCATGCATATATATATACATATTATTATTATAGTATGTTAGTATATATGATATATTCATGCACACGCATTGCTTTATGGGGCTGAATTCATAAAGCCAGGCAGATTATACTTTCAAAAATAATTTTGTCCCTTTGCAGTGGTTGCCGTGTGTGATGACTTTGGATTCCGGCCACACTGTCAAGTAAGATGCAACCTGACAGCGTAGGCCAGGCACCGTGAGGCTTTATGTATCTTAGCATATATGTCTTCATGTGTCTCACAACCGTCGTACAATGTTAGAATTATTATCCTCATTTTGCATGTAAAAAGAACAGGATAAAATAGTGTTTCCCCTTCAGCCCCTCACCAGCGATCAATCCCCAAGCCCACTGTCTTTGTCTAGTGCACCGCAGTGGACATATCTCGTCGTTCAGGCACGCTCGCTTTTTCAACATGTTTGAAAGCACCTTTGCGAAATTAACCCTCTGCCCATCCGTTCTGTTCCCTACCTAAGCTTTCAGTTCTGGTAAACAACCCCTTAGCTGGAGTCCCTAGGTCCACTCCAGCTTTTTGCGGGCCGGCGTGTCGATGGGAAGCTGAGCACTGTCACGTGCCTCGTAGGGCGTTTTGTGCAACCAAATATTTGTGTTGGAAGGTAACAGTAGAAAGAATATCTTGTGTGAGGGTAGCGAGAGCTTAGCAGATGTTTTAGGGAACTGCGTTTTCAAATCATTGTACATTGAAAAAAAATAGCTGGAGTTTGTAGAACTTCTGAAACGATTGGGTTACGTTTCCTGGGGCCGTGTAAAGCCAGTCATTGTGCTGAGTTTTAACAGATGTGCCACTGCCCTGCTAATGGATGGGCCTGCGTTGCTGGTTCTGTTGCACAGTTATAAATTATAACTAGAAAAAGCACAAGATGTCATTCTTCTAACCTTCGGGAAAGCCAAGCTGGGTAATTCTGCCCTTGAATAACCTGCTGCAGGGTGATTTATAGTCGGACAATTTAAAATATAATGAAGGAGATAATAGATGTTGATTTGTTCTTTAAATTAGTAGTTTAGAAAAATATGCCCCCCCCCCACCTCCCCTTTAAATACCTGCAGCTGACTACACTCTAGATACTATCAAGGGCAAAAAACCCCGTTTGAATCTCTTGACACATTGGAATAGAAAGCAGGGGCCGTCTTTCTGTGTTGCAGGGAGGAAATAGGATTTTCAAAGTGGAAATTTCAGCATATTCTTGACTAATCTAAATATTTTGAGACTCCCTAGTGAGGGTTGAATTCTCTGGCCGCCTTGCTCTTGCCAGTCCAGATATGTTAGAAAACCCAGGCTCCTAGGACTCCTCTGTGGTTGGGCCACACGTGAGCTTTCCTGCAGAGCCCCACAGTGGACCTGGTGGCTGAGCTTTTCTCGCCAAGGCCACATCCCCGTAGTCTCAAAATTCTTCTGAACTCCAGCATTATCATTAGCATTGGTTTTATTAGTCATCTCTCAGTTCTGTCTGGAGTTTTACGGTTTGCAAGGTTTGCTCAATTCTGAGTCCAAGAGAGAGGGTAAAGTGAAAAAGAACAAAGGATTTAGAATCACTAGGCCTATATTCAAAACTGAGGTTTCCTCCTTTTTTTTTTAGTTTTATGATTTTGTAATTATTCAGCCTCTCCGAGGCTCATTTTCTACATCAGTTCAGACGTTTTGGGCCGTGAGTTATTATCACCCAGTTAAAAGTTGTTGGAATAGTAGGAGATTTGATTTTCTCATATACCCAGAAGTCCTGAGGCGGCTAGGAGTGTGTTTGATTACCATGCAAGCAGCTCCTTTGTGATTGTCTAGGTTTTTCCCTCATGCTTATGAGGTGGCTGCAGCAGCGCCAACCATCACCGCATCTTGCATGATAAGGTCTGAAGACAAGATGGGAGGAATGGGGCCCCTCCTTGCATGCCTCCCTCTCTTATTAAGAAGGAGAATATTCTGTGCCAAACTGGCCTCCCTAGAAGACTTCATCTGAGCTCCCACTGGCTAGAATTGAGTCACTTGTCCATATCTTGTAATGCAGGGGAGACTGGGAAAGTACATTTCTGGCTTTTTGTGTCTCTAGGGTGGGAGACGAGATCTGATGGCAAGGAAAAAGAGTGGAATAACGGCTCTTGAACAGGCACTATTGAATAGGTGTGCATACTTGTATAGTTTTCTCATAGGTCGTATGGGAATGCTGTCTATTTTAGAGGGTCATCATGAAAGCAAGTGAGGATTGAATGAAAGGCACCTGGCCTTATCTGGTCCCCTTCCTTTCAACCAGCTTTACCTCAAGCCACTTTCA